GAAGTAGCTGCATTATAAATATACTGTTTTAGACTAGATTGCTAATTCATAAGGTATGAAGATAAAAGAGAGATTAACAGTCTTTTTCCACTATGGGTGAATCTGTATGTTTCCACTGCCTGCTATTACTCATATATTTAGAAACATAGGATCATAGAATAGTTAGGGATGGAAAGGACCTTAAAATCATCAAGTTCCAACCCCCCTGCCATGGGCAGGGGATACCTCACACTAAACCATGTTACTCAAGGCTCTGTCCAACCCGGCCTTGAACACCGCCAGGGATGGAGCATTCACAACTTCCTTGGGAAACCCATTCCAGTGCCTCACATTTACTCTTACAGTAAAGAGCTTCTTCCTTATATCCAATCCAAACTTCCACTGTTTAAGTTTTAACCCATTACCACTTGTCCTATCGGTACAGTCCCTAAGGAAGAGTCCCTCCCCAGCATCCTCATAGGCCCCCTTCAGATACTGGAAAGCTGCTATGAGGTCTCCAAGCAGCCTTCTCTTCTCCAGGCTGAACAGCCCCAACTTTCTCAGCCTGTCTTCATACAGGAGGTGCTCCAGTCCCCTGATCATCCTCATGGCCCTCCTCTGGACTTGTTCCAACAGTTCTGTGTCCTTTTTATGTTGAGGACACCAGAACTGCACACAATACTCCAGGTGAGGTCTCACAAGAGCAGAGTAGAGGGGCAGGATCACCTCCTTCGACCTGCTGGTCACACTCCTTTTGATGAAGCCCAGGATACGGTTGGCTTTCTGGGCTGCGAGCACACACAGCAGCCGGCTCATGTTCATTTCCTCGTGGACCAACTCCCCCAAGTCCTTCTCCGCAGGGCTGCTCTGAATCTCTTCTCTGCCCAACCTGTAGCTGTGCCTGGGATTGCTCTGACCCAGGTGTAGGACCTTGCACTTAAACTTCATAAGGTAGTCCAGCTATCAAATTGATGACTCTCCAATTTAGAGACAAGGCTGTCCTGTGGGACAGTGTCGAACGCTTTGCACAAGTCCAGGTAGATGACATCAACTGCTCTAGCCCTGTCCATCAGTTCTGTAGCCCCATCATAGAAGGCCACCAAATTGGTCAGGCAGGATTTCCCCTCAGTGAAGCCATGCTGGCTGTCACCAAGCACCTTGTTGTTTTTCATGTGCCTTAGCAGGCCTTCCAGGAGAATCTGCTCCAAGATTTTGCCAGGCACAGAGGTGAGACTGACTGGTCTGTAATTCCCCGGGTCATCTGCACCTTGAGTTGAAGAGAGGACTAATGTGTTATACTCATGGTGCTGGCTGTTGGAGTTGATGCTAAGTGCACCTGGGGATTGTCATTGTCTCTGCTCGTCTGTCACACTGGAGGGTTCTTTTTCCTTTGAAACATTTCATAAGAATGGCTCTGCAGCAGTGGTCTCAGAGTAGATCACACCAAACACTTAGTATCCCCTGTAGGGAGGTGATCAGTAGTCTATGTAATAGAGCCCTGAAGAGTTGATCAGAAAAAGTAAAATGGAAAAGAAGAAATCTTTTTTGAAAAACACAAAATAAAAAGGCAAAAACATTAGAAAATATTTGCTAGCTTGCCACCATCTGTCAAAAATGCATACAAGTACTTACTTGCACTTACTCCTTTCAGTATGCATTATGAGATCTAAGCAAATTTTTTTCTATGTGGAAGCCTAAAAATGCAGAACAAAAGCCATGAGAAAAAAAAAAAAAAGTGGAAATATATGATTATAAGAAACGGAGGAAGCAGGTCAAGCCATCAGCAAGGTTAATAGACTCCTGCAATTAGACTAATGGGGCAACAGAAATGAAAAAGCCCTACATTATCCAAGAGGGTATCTGTGTTGTGTGGTTTCATGCTGCAGAGGGGTTGGATCTACTAATATAAATCAGGTAGAAGGACCGCTAACCTCATTGCTGAAATCAAGCACGTTAGTGGATGTCATCATCAGATGCTCATTACTAAAATAAGTACAGCTATTCAAAATGTATTTGTACCATAGCTGCATGTTACAGAAGAGTGGGTGGAACAGGCTGCACAATTATGCCTCATCACCTTCAGAGTGAAATTAGGCAGGCTTGCTTGACCTGGATATGATATAATTAGAATGGACTACCTACACTAGAATGGGTGACATTTGCACAAACATCTCTCATGACCCATTCTGCTGGCTGGCTGTGGGGTGGTTGCCTCCCGCAAAGCGATGGTAACACTGGGAACCTCAGGTATTTCTGTAGGAAATATTTCAGTGGCATTAATTTTGCTGGTGTCTAGTGTCAAATCATGTGAAGTCTGCCTCATACAATCCTTTTAGAACTTGCACTGGTTTTAATCCCAGTTTAAAGAAAACTCTCATTAGGGGACAGCTTTTAATTTTTACCATAAGTAAGAAGACGGTTTACTGGCTGAGTAAACTCTCAGGCAGTACATGTGCCTTTAGCAGACCTATATCATCTCAGACCTGTCTGGTTTTGGTGTTGCTTTCACAGACTTCCAAGACAGATTATAGTAGGCACAATCCTGTTTCAATTTTAGTGTAACTTTCTTCGCAGCAAGATTTCCCCACTCTTGTCAGTTTTCATTATATTTATGGCTGGCTGGAGGGTTGATTCTCTCTCTTGTACAAATGCTTTATATACTAATTTTTAAAAGTCATCTTGGCCTATGAAACAAATAAAAAAGATGAAGAGTTAGTGTTTCTAGAAAAGTCACATAGCTTGTAGCAGAAAATGGCAAGATATCACTCTGTATTGATAGATATTTCTCTGGGTTTGTATCTGCCACTTAGCTTGCTAAACGGTATTTCTTTTAGAGACATTTCTGTGGCACCTTGTCTGACAAATTTGTACTGCTCCTGTCTCTGTTAATTTTATAACAGGTAGAAATACATTTCATGTTTTCACACAACTCCATCATTCTCATTTTATTGCATCCTGTCTTTTAGTTGGCTAATCAGTGTCTCAATCATAATCTATTCTTCAACAATTTTCCATTCAGAACTCTAAGGGTACTTAAGTACTGAAAATAGTACAGTACAAACAGAATCCCAGCTCCAAAAATACAAGCCAACCTCTTTCATAGATGTAAATTGAGAGAAGCCTGTTGAACAAAATGCTTACACTATAAGAGAGCTTTCAATCCAGGAAGTAATTCACTGTAAGGCAATGGTGTCTGGCTCCTTCCAAACAAAATAATTTATACAATTGCACTGAATATACAGTACTTTTTCAGACAGGGTAAACAGAATGATAGGACACCAGAAGGTTTATTCACAAAGTGTCTGTTCTCTGTCCAGCTGTACTTTCTTTGCAGGCTGATCTGTAAGGAAGTTCATAATGTATGATCCAACACACCATCATATCGTATCTGGTAACAGCATTAGCAGTGATCCCTATATGGTGTTTCATCATTTGCAAGTGCTGAAATGACTTGACACCCTGCATGTGTTTTTAGATCAGATTTTTGCACCATGGACCAGTGGGCAAACACATTTAGCTGTACCACATTGCACAAGCCATAGAGCAGATTAATGGGACAAATCTGGCAAGAAGTTGTGTATACAGCCTTGTTTCTTAAACTAGAATATTAATTTGTTGAAACTCTGACACAATGCAGTTTGACTGTGACTTTCTCTACTCAGAGATATCCCATATCATCTGTATGTAACTAGGGTTATTTTTTATGTAATATTTCACCCCTTTTTGTCGTATCATTGGTATTAATTTGTCTGTCTTTGTGAAAATACTTTAGGTATTCTGGGCCTGTCACCATTTTGCTACAGGCACAGAAAAGCCCCCTGGGAACATCTGAGAGGTTCTCTTTCTATTCTACTTAATTTCTGCTTGTTTGAAGACATAAGGGAGCATAGCTCGATTTTCAAGAAAAATGAAAAAAGAAATTTGTGGAAAAATACCAAGCATGCATTCCTAAATTATTTATTTGTGACTGGCAAAGATGAAATTTTGAGATTCAGTGATGCTGAGTCACATGGGAATGAGCTACGCCACTTCCCACATATGCTCCTTCTCCTCATGTAGAGGTAGCTTATAATCTTCATAGTTGTTTTTACCTGTGATCAAAACAGAAGGGAAAATAAGAAAGAAAGAAAACAGGAAAGTGAAAAAAACTTATTTCTGTTTCTTTTAGCCTCTTACATGTATTTCTAGTGTTTGTATAAGCCTTCTTGCACTTTTAGAAGTACGTAACTTTGAGAATTAGAATATATCTATTTTCATTATTGCTTTAGTTATTTTATATCCAACATTCCAGTTGCTTTCTCTTGGTGCTCAGAAACAGACTAAAATGTTCTCTGCCAAGTCTGATGATGCCAAATCCATCAGGTTTTCATAAAGCCAAACAAATTCAAGAGTTTAATCATCACTTAAAGTGATGCATTCCATTACAAAAAGAAACTCTGAGCCTCCAAATTCAGAATCTTTTGCTTATTCCTCAAGTTACAAAGGTGTATCTACTTTCTAAACTTCAGTCTTGTAACACATCTGGTTGTTTTTTCCTCTCTTTTTACATGATGCAGATCTTTGAAATATCTTTAAGAGAAGTATTACATCTTTGATTTTTATCTGGTGTAAAGCCACATTAACAAATACCATAATCATCCCAGAGCATTTTTATGTCCTCCCTGCAGTCTGTAGTAATAAAGAGATCTCTCTACCTCAAAGGATCTGGCAGCTCTTCCGCTCTTGTCTTCAAGGCTTCCCTTTACAAGGACCACCCTTCAGTGGTGTTGAGTGAGGCATGACCTTGCCAGACCAGCCCCATACATTTGCTATATAAAATAGCTAGAGTTCCAAAAACTTCAGATCCATTTCAATACAAAGCACAGCAGCTTCTCCAGTATGTATTTATTTGCTTAAATTAATACAATACCTCATACATGCTTTTACTGTTGAGATATAAAGCCAGAAGCTGAGTATTCACAGATATTTGGTCTATTTTTTGAGCTGGGGCTTTGAATAGGAACACAGCATTCTACGCAAAATAAATATACATCACTTTATTTGCAAAATCTGTTAGAAGTACAAAATGTTAGCTCTGTTACATCTTGTTCAGCTAAGCAGACATGACATTTCCCAAACTGTTAATAATTATTAAAAACTTCTTGGAACAATAAATACAGTACTTATATTACTTCTTAACTGTACACTCATAATAGCAGAGTCCAGCAGCACCGTATGAAGAGAGAAATAGGAGTATAGCTAGTAGATCAACAGAGAGTTGTAAAAAGATGGGTGCAGTAGCATTACCTGGTCTTTCCAGCAAATTGTTTTACAGGACACAGCATAGGATAAACTTCTATCATAATATCATGTTTTATCCTTTGAGCTGCTGAACACAGAACACCTGTCTTTGCATTTACAGGCTGGAGGCTGTCCTCAGCCAGGAAGAACTCAGGTTAACAAGGAGATGGCTGAGACCTGGTAGCTAGACACAAACCAGTTTGTTCCTTGGTTACCTACTTCACCTTCCCAGTAAATACGCTGTCTTTCTTCACCCAGTTTTTGACTTTTCATCTGCATGTACTCTGTTTTGTACAGTGTTTTGCAGAATTCTCCCTGCTGACCTTAACAGCAGACAAGTCTCTAACGTAATAAACCACCTGCATTCACTTGCCCATACTCATTATGGTGTGGCCAATTTGCCTCTCCTCAACATGGCTTCTTGAAGCATCTTTTTATATGAGTTTGGAAAGCATCTCGGTTGTATGAGTTTGGCCACTCTTATTTGCTCTGGTGCTCTTCAAGAGGATGGAATTAGGCTTCTTACAATGATACACAGAAAGAGTATGGATGTGATTTAATACAGAGGTGGTAAAGATTGGGCTTTAATTTTATGTGTTACCATGAACTGAACACCCAAATAGCAGAGAAGAGTCAGGCAAATACCTTTTTTCTACAACATAGCAAGAAGAAGGTATATAGATTAGGAAGGAGGAAAAAGAAAATATATCCCCTAAGGTCCAGGACACAGTACTTCTGAACCTCTATTCAAAGCATAACAAGGAAGCTAATCTCTCAAAAATTAGAAATGGGAAATAACTTCATTATGAGAGCAAATTTCTATAAAGCATTTTCAAAGCTATTAAAAAGCAAAGGCCGTTACTGTCTGTTCCCAAAACGGTGCCAATGTAAATAGCGTGAAAATAACTTATGTTTGAAAAGCAAGGTGCTTCACAATGAAGACTGTTATTTCACTTTTAATTTGTCCCTTGGGGCCTCTTTTAACAAGTGTCTTAAACCCAGCTGCATTATGTTCTGCAGTAAGGAGGACTATCATCTCCTAACCTTTTTGCTTGGGTCACTTGGCACTGTCTCCTTATCTTAGTAATAGTTTTGTTTGTAATTCCTCTGACTGGTGACTTAATGGTTTTAGATGAGCTCTTTACTACTCTAACATGAATTAGCCTTGGGTGTTTGTGAATTAGTTTTGTGTGACTATGTGACTGGGCACAGTCTCAAGGATTCATTGTAATGGAATATTCTCTGCTTTCTAGGAAGAATGAAAGAAAATGAATTTACATTACAAATTATTCCTAAATAACATTGCCTTTCTGGGGGTCTCTACTCCTTTCCACCTGTCTGTATGTGGCTGGCAGTTGGTTTTACTCCAATAAGAAGCAGGATTGTAGAAGTGGGTAATTTGGCTGCAGTGACAATGTGGCTGAAAGTGTTTGGGTTTACAGACAATCCAGACAATCCAGAACTGTTTTCAGTGATTTCCTTTCCTAACGACATGTCTGGCACTTTCCCTTATGAAGTCTGTAAGGGAACTCTGAATTGTACGCATACTTCCAGCAGACGTCAGGTTTGTGGTTATGCTATCTACTGGGAGCTGAGCTCTGCTGAAAAGGTTTTCTCTGCTCTGTTTACCTGGAGTGCTTTTGGTATGTAACATTTGTCTCTTTCAGTATAGGGTTGGTCTAGCTGTGCCATAACACCCTCCAATGCATAGACAACAGAGCTTTACAATGCAAAGGCTGCATGTCTTTACCTACCACAAAAGTGAGGGGAGCTGCTAAGTTCATTTGCATGCGCACCATTCTAGAAATTACAACCAGGCTCCTGATTCTCTGTTTATTCTTATTATAGGAACTAGTATGCCTGAAAGGTGGAGTGGACTGATCTTGGATCATGAATATCTGGAAACTACACTACTTTGAGAGAGACATTTCTAAGAGTCAGGGTCTCACAGGTCTTGGCTGTATGCACTCTCAAATAGGAGCTTTTGTCTGACAGAGACAAGATATTGCCAAGAAGGCAGCCGAAGGACTTGTTCCTATTTCTAACAGGCAAGCTAATAAACCACGCTGAATTTCTACCTGATCATTTCTCTGAAAACGTTCTGATTCTTCTGCTTGTCCAGTGTCTTCCTGAAAGAAAGATGGCTCCTTTTCCAAGAGGAGTGACAAGCACTAGAAGCAAGTAAGTTGAATGTGTATGATAAAACAATTCATCACTGAAAAAATATGGATATGCATCTCCGAAATACACCTTATTTTGAAAGATATTAATTCTAGGCCTAACATGACCTACACTCCACTTCAATTTGGCATACCCTGTATGCCAGCTGTAGAGCTCATTACATTTTAGAAGAGTCACCTGCGTGTTACAGCTTCTTTTATCAACAGCTTTTCTGCTCTTCAGAGTCTTTATTATACTGTGCTTGAGCCATGAAAATTGAAACTGCCTTCTGCAGCCTCAGACTACATAAACCCAGCTTTATGTGATCATTAAGGGCTGCTGCCCTGTGAACACTGATTAACTGGTAGGTATGAGAATCATCAGTGAGTGGTTTCTAATAATGTCAGAGAGTTGCAGCTACATGACTTTAGCCTTAGGAAGCCGTAAGTCTATGATTATATTTAATTATAACTTGCTATGTATTAAGCATGATAGCAAGGTAATTCAAATCAAGACCTTGGCAGGTAAGTGAAGAAGGCAATCGTATTTAGATACGATGTACCATATATATAGATTTAAACCATTTGAGTGGGTTTATGAATGGGTATGAATGACATAGGACTAATTAAATGACTTATTAAATCTTTATTTCCTTATAAGCAATAGGGTGGAGTGGGGCTGTTTGTAGTCTACTTTGAAGATGCAGGAATCAATGGGCTGATCAAATTATTCATTCAATTAATGGAATGTGCTTAATGGAATTGTGGCTTCTTAGCATCTGTTATGAGAATCAAAAGAATGAAAAGTTGTGAATGACTCAGTAAAAACAGCATGAGTGGAATTCTTCTGAAAGGCCTGCAGGTTACTGCTCAAACCATGTTGATAAAGGAAAAATTTCTGACTCGGTAAAGAGGAAATACAAAACCAATTTTCCTCTGTGATGTGCTGCTCGCCCTATAAGGGCTCTTTTTTTGCCATATCTTCTAAATAAAATCAGCTCAGACCTGTGTATTTCAAAATCAGCCCTACAAGCCAAGACAAACTGAAGAGATAAAAGGCAAAATTGCATCTTTTTCTCTATTAAATTACTCATATTGCTTTATGTGTAATTACAGCAAAACTTGCAAATGCTACATGCTGCTGCTGTTCATTATATGTTGGTCTGAGCAGACAGTAAAACATGTCAGCACAGTCCATGCTACTTCACTTGAAGAACTGATGAATACTCCCATACTGACTGAAACATAGCAAAGCACAAACATTCCTTGTGCCAGAGAAAAAGCTTCTGTGACTGCAATAAATTCCAGTCCTTACAGAGCTGCCCTTCACCATATCACAAAACATTACTATTTCTTCTTGATTTCTTTCCCATTTCTCATTATAAGTGGTTGAACTGTCACTTCACTAGATGGAAGTATTTGGACTGTGTTAGTTCTGAGAATGACAACACTTCCGTGTGTATCATGTTTAACAGTACTCTTACTTACACTGTGAAATACTTAGCACTGAGATTATTTTTTTTTTTGAGATTTATAGTTAGAATTCTTCATATGTTTAGTCAGATAATAAATCAAATGCTAGAATACGTTGCTTTTTGATAACTAGAAAATTGCGTATGTCTCTACCATCCCAGATAAACGAAAAATAAGCTTCTTTACCTACCCCACTGTCTGATCAAACATAAATGGGTAAGTATTAAAATGTTATTTTTCAATATCTATTGCATTTCTTTGTGACCTTGAACTGCTTTATATTTTTAATATATGTGTTTTACCTTAAATTATTTTTATTCATTGGCTTGTTTTTTTTTTAAAGACTACTACAAAATTCCAGGTATTGACAAATTACAGTTCATGTTAAAAGCTATCTAGTTCCCATTTTCCAGACTTTTTTAAATGTCCATTTTAAATGCCTATAAGCATTGTTTGTTTTTCAACTTTTCTTTCCAGCAATTCTTTCAAGCTCTTGTTCCTGTGCTTGAAATACAAGTAATCAGAGAGAGAGTGGCCAAGCCTGGCCTTTTCAAAGGATCTAAAGCTGAGGTGTTCTTTGTCGTTTGTAAGGTCTCTCTCTCCTTGGCTCTCCTGTTTGTCTGAGCTTCCTGTTCTATTCTCCAGTCGTCCCTCACTTTGCACTTCTTCTTTCTCATTGCAGTAGGACTCTCTGAAGTCCTTCATCATGCACTCAGGTTTGCCAGACAGATCCTGAGCCGTGTATAGCTTATTGTCATCCTGGTGGTACATGGCAGGGGTGTACCTCTCTGCCTCATAGCAGTTGTCCTCCTCTTCTTCCTGGCATGAGCTTCCCTTGGCACTCTCGCCATCTGAATGGAATGAGATTCCCTTCCCTTGGCTTTTCTGGGAAAGATCAAAGGGCTCTTCCTGTTCCAAGCTTCTTAAGACATTTGTCTGGGACAGAGCAATTCTTCCTCTTCCAAAACCTTGTAGTGGTTTGAGGGAGGAGAAAAGGAACAATTTATATACGTGATACATGGTTAAAAAAAACAGAATGTGAGGTGGCCTCTCATTTCATACTTTACCATTGTTTTCCATTCAGCTGTCTCAAGTACTTTACTGTTTACATCTCATGACATCTCCTTTGAGATACTGTTAAAGAAGTACTATTGTATACACTTCACAGTCAGGTTATGACACAGAAAACATTGTGCTGGACATGCCAAACGCTGGATTAGGGAGCTAGGGATAAAAGTGAAGTGGCCTGGCCCCTTTTAACTATTTTTGCCAGCGTACATTCCCTCTTCCTTCTTACTTCTTTAGAAATGAAAACTTTGATCTAAAGCATCACACGCCATGACCAAAGCCCCAGGTTTTGTACTTCTTTTTTCTTTTTTTTTTTTCCAGACGGTTGGAAAAGATTAAAAACATTTTAATGTGATTGTTCTATAAACACTTCAGTTCAAAGTTACCACTTCAAAATGAAATGACAATCAAGTCTCGGCAGCCTACAACCTTCACTCTCCTTAATTTTTCATCTTTCAGCCACTGAGAAGCCATTCATGCCACTGAAAAAGCTCTGTGCAATAGGTAGTGCTTTAGCTTGAGGAAATCGTTTTGAACAAATGATGATTTTTAGCAGTGCAGTGTAGTCTGAGCATAGTCCTAGATCTGGTTTATCTCAATATTTGTCAGCATCTCCTATCTTGCTGGAAATCCAGGCATTATCTAGGAGGCATCCATGGACTCAAATACACTCTGAGCATTGGGACACACTGAAGAAGATTCAGACAGTTTGATTTGGTTTTTTTTTCCCTTAGTAATTGATCAATGCAGCCTTACTAGATACAGCTGCTAATCTGCAACAGTTTGTATTTGTTAAAATGACTCATGAGGAGGTGGCAACCCTTACAAATTGCCTGGTGTCTGACAGCCTCAAGGGCTGAAAAATCTCTGTACACTGAAAAGCTCTTAGGCTGTCTTCAATTATGAGTAATTGCATAACCAGCATAGTGCTGTGGGAGATTTACAGGAAAAAAAAAGAGCTATTTATCTCATTACCTGTTGGGAACTTTGTAAATTTTTATGCCAAATGTAGTTAGAGTGTGTGTTTTACGTGTGTGTTAAGCTGTCTTGAAGATTGAATTTGAGGAACACCAAAAAATCTTACCTATGAAAGAATTATTTATCCAGAAAGTCTTAAGACACAAAATATCTTGGATACTGAAACTTTTGAAACTATCTTCCCTAATTCCCAATTTCCCTGGGTAGTCAAAAATCCATGTCTCCTCTTACCCACGTTTCTTTGCAAACTGGCTCTTGAGCCTTTGGTAACACAGCTATGTCAATATGGTACAGAATAGCCAAGGCTTCCCGACAGAGAGCCATTCAGGCTTCCATTCCAGACTGGAATTCAATAGGCAGTGAGCAAGACCCATGGAGTGTTCTAGCTTTTTTGTTTGTGTCAGTTTTGAAAGAATTTATGATGTACCTCAAACATAAGAGAAAATACAAACTCGTACACAGATACGAGTGGGCGAAAATATCTGCTTGTCCATAGCTGTTAGGCTGCGGTGTGTCAACCTCTAGGATTCAAGTCCCTTGCAGCTGTAATGTTTATTCAAAAATAATGGAACTATACCCTCAGTCAGGAAGATTATGTCATCCAATCGCTCCCCTGCCCAAGTACATACACCACAGCCTCCCCAAGACTGATTCTCCACCAGCTCGCTCCCATTTGTATCTCAGAGTACCTACATGCTAAGAGAAACTCTGTGGTGCTGCGGACACTACACCTTCTCACAGCAATGGATAGGGAGGCCTGGGCTTAAGTACAAGAACATTTGGTACGGCTTGATAAATCTTCTAAGCTCATACTATTGAATGTATTCTCCCTAACACCTGACAACAGCAACTTAGTACGCTAGAAGTATTTCTTTTCTGCTCATAAATGCTGTCGCATTTTGCCTCCATCTATTCCTCCATCTCAGTCTGTACCTGTGTGTTATCAGATATCTAGTCTGAAAGATCTCCAAGACAAGGGTCACTACCTTGGGGATCTCTGATCTGTATCACTGAAGTGACACAAATAGTTAATGACAACCTCCAGAGCTTATGGGATTAAATCTCTCCCAATCACATTGGATCTGTAGTACAAAGCCCATTTGGGTTTACAGATATGCATCTTCAAATCTCTCAGAGAATAGCCTTGCTGAAAAATATTACCTTGAGAATGAAATCCTCGTTCCATAACCCCATGTTTGACTTTCATGTGCCTGGTTAGGTTCCCCTTCAAGGTGAATTTGCTGGGACAGTAGAGGCACTTGAAAGGCTTACTGTCCGAGTGCAAGTGCATGTGTCCCATTAGATTGTGCATTCTGTTAAATTCTTTTCCACAAAGCTGCAAAAAAAAGTAAAAATGAAAATGATTAGTTCAAGCGGGTACAAGCAGAACATTTTGAAAGGAAATAGGACCTGTTCTTCTCAACTTGAGCCCTGGTGGCTTCTGGCTACAATTTGTTTTTCAAAGATACAGACAAAAAAACTATGGACGGGAATATGCAGTTAAGTCTGATCTACCTAAGGCCTTCTGCACTGCTGTCATTTTTTAAATTTGGTGAGTAGAACACACAGTCAAGGGTTCTCCAAAAACAGGGAATGTTCTTGTAAGGAGGTGAGAGGCTTAAGTGTGTAACCTGGAAGGCTCTTAATTTTAATGAAATGCAAAGTATAACTTTCTGCACTGGTGAACCATTTTGTTTGTAGTTTATAAATCTAGCCTTTAAGCAGGAGCAACACCAGACAGAGATAGAGATACAGAATAAAACTAATGAAGGTTTTCTGTGAAACAGTCAAACAGAGTGTTACTTCTCATTAAGTGGAAATGAAATGGCTGCACATTTTGCTTAAACTAGAAAAAGCAATTCCTTTTTTTTCTTTTTACTCCCCTGTTTTTCTCTGATCCTCTTATCTTCTGTTTACCAACTTCTGTGTTTCAGTCTCTCTGGTGAGTAAGCTGGAATTTAAATAGTCATGGGGCTGCAAGAATGACTCAGCTTTTCCTGAAGCATGCTCCTCACTGATCATGCTCAACAATCCATTGATTGTGCAGGTTTGCCTTTAATGAAACAGTAAGGGGGATTTTTTTTTCCATTATTATTGTTTATCTAGATGGATCCTTTTGTAATCTAGTTCCTTATGAATCAAAGGTATTCTCAAGACATGAGAGTTTGAGATCACTATTACAAGCTTCTAGTCTTACTTGTCTTCTGGTCTTTCCTTATTAGGATTTATAATTTTATTCACATTCAAGTGGCTGTTTCCACCCTCTGCAAACTTTGGTGTTTGCTTTCTACTTCAAGTCCTTTCTTAGGAATAGTTTTACCATCAGATGTTTTTTCTTTACAGTCTTTATCGCTATATGAACCAGAATCACCATTACTGAGTAAAACTAACTTCTATCAAGCAGTGTAGTCATTGAGGAGAAAATTACTAAAAAACAGTTGTTGAGATTCCACCAAAATTTTGGTCTAATCTGAATTCTGATTTATTTGGATAGTACAGACGGTCTGTTACAGTACTTTTTGAGTCAAATTCACAAAGCCATCACCTGGAATATGTGGATGATATGTAGATAGTGGAATGATCCTTGGTGAAATAGTACTGTATCTTTTGTATTTTAAACCATTTCTTGAGGGGAAAATGAAGCATTCCGTTAATACAGACATTTACAGGGGTATTGTGTTCAAATAAAAGCTTGGGCTGAGTCAGTGCTGCAAAAAGAGAGTTTGGAAATATTCACTTGCTTTCAAAAAACTATTTGCTTCAGCTGCGTAAGTTCTCTTCCATGATTTGCTCTTTGTGATTTTGCTAAACTTAATATTCTGACAAATTTATCAGCAAAATGTTCACCAAGATGGGGAGCTGGGGTGGGGGAAGCCACTGAAAATGAGATATCAATCAGTAAAACTAAAATGTCTGATTCCAAGGGTCATCCACCCACTTAGGAAAGAGGACTGTCTCTTTGCATTTGAATGAAGTTAATATGCTTGAGGACTTGTATTCAGGGAAAGGAATGCACAAAAAAAAAACCCAAAACCACTCTGAAAGTGATGGGGGAAGCAAAGAGGAGAAGCAGCACTGATGAACACAGAAAATTTGCAAGGAAGAACAACAGCTGATTATATCTTAACAGCTGCTGGAATGACCTATGACATGTCAATGTTTCTCAGGCTACAAGAATGCCAATAATAATACCCCTCAGCAGAAGGCTTCTAGTTGTCTGCTTGTGTTGTGGCTGATCTGTTTTCTCACCAGCTTTTGCTTTCCAACAGCTAGGTCTTTATTTCTCTATCTAAACTGGTAATCAGGAAAAAAAGGTTGATCAGGTGCTATATCTTTATAAGGTATTGATTATTGAAATGGGTCTAGTAGAAGCCCTTTTTTGTTGTTGTTTTGTGTTTTGGGTTTTGTTTTGTTTTGTTTTTTTGTCAAGGCAATATTTATTTATCTCCATAATGAAAAGACAGGAACTAGAATTTTGTGTATCTGAATAAATGGGGTAGGTTTTCTATATCCCAATGTCATGCACGGTCTTACGGATGTGTAATGTGTTCTTGTCCTGAAATATCCCCTGAGAACATGAGGAAATGGTAGTACAGTGAAGAGGTGTGGCAGGAAAATGAAAGAAATGCAGATATTAAAATTGTTTTTCGGGATGATTGCTCTGTGTGGCATTGTCTCTCAATAACCCATACATTTCAAAAGGCACATGATGACTTTCAGATGAGTATTCATGATCCAGAGGATGAAGGGATCAGGTTTTGTGCTCATATGCTGGAAGACAGTGACCTAGATCTAGCTGGGTTTCACGACCAGTGCTTAAAGAACAGCCTGAGCCTGCAGACCAAACCAGGAAGGTGTACAAGATTTTCTCTCTGTGAAAGGGCAGGGTTGTGAGCACTGATCAGAGTCCTGAGCCGGCTGCATGAGAGGGAGCTCCAGCAGAACTCTTCACAGAGCACATTAACAGTGAAGGGGAATCAAAGTTTATGCAAGAGATCTTGGGATAGGAGGAGCAGCATGGTTTACTTGTGGAACTTTTGTTAGGCTGTCTATATTAGACAAAGTAAAATTCAAGCCCTGAAGGGAAGGACCTCAGCTGCAAGTCTGCTGAACACACTTCACTGCACTAGCTGGTGAAATGGACTGAAGTAATTTAGATCAACGCTAGATTTTGTCTTCCTATGTCACCACTTGAAGTATCACCTTTCTAGATTTGTCAGTCTGTTTTGTTTCTTCCAAAGTACTTATCTCTCACATTTCCTTTGGCTTCATTACATTCTCTGCTGGAGGCCTAAAATATTGCTGACTTCAGCACTAAAAGCAATGGTATGTTTCACAGAAGCTTCCTCTACAAATCAGGATTAGCACTATTGCACCAGTTGGTGCAACTCCTTCAGAACTCTTCAGTGGTTTTGGGTGGAGGGGGTTGTTGTTTTTCTTTTAAACAGAAATTAAAAAGGCAGCATGGGCTCAGGCCTTTAAACACTACAGAGAAGTTCAGTCTTCAGACAAAATTTAGACACAGATACTGGCTGCAGCTGGATGAGGAAACAGAAGGGACAGCTATTTGCTACTCCCTCACTTCAGATAGTCTGTGCTTAGCTGTGATTAGACACATAGGAAAGCCTCATGTTTTCTTTTGCTGTGAGAAAAAGGTAAAGAAAACCATTGCATGTGGTGAAGTAGAAAGGCTACTGGCTGTGCTCTCTTTCCCTTACATTCTTCTTTTTTTTTTTTTTCTTCATAAGAAGGGTGTTCCTTTCCTCAAAGAGAGAGGGAGAGGGAGAAAGACTGTAAACTGTCCAAAAGGACCGTGAGAAAACAGGAAGCTTTGAAAAGTACAAGAGAAAGCAAGATGAAATCTATTTGCAGGCGGTTCCCGGGGGACATGTGAGCCATTGTTAAAGCAGGCTGTTCATACAGCTATATCCTTCCTTCTGCTGAGGAGGAGCTTGGTGCCAAAAGGCTGCTATCTGGTCATTGCCTTAACCCTCTGAATACCAGCCAGAATACTTGCCCAAGTCTTTCAAGGGCCCACCAGAGAACCAAGGGATGCTCCTAACACAAAAGAGCAAATGCTAGTTCTCTCTTTGCTTGTTACAACCTACATTCTGTTCAGGGGCATCCCTGCAGCCATGGGAGAAACTGGTTTACTGTGCTTGCTTGTTTCTTTTCTCCTAGGAACACTGGGTGGGGACAGAGAAGTAAAAAAATAAGAAAAACAGGTGTTCCTGGTGGTACTCCAGTTGCCTGTTCAAGCTATTGCCATCTCCAAGTACAAATAGGCTGTCATCATCAAACCCTAAGCTGAACACAAACTTCCAGCTAATCTGCACATACTAAAAAAATAATGTGGGTCCAGATACTGCATCAGAGCAATTGATCAAACAATTGAGTTTCTTTTCTGAAATTTGAGGGATCAGATGAGGACTTTGACCAATTGGGAACAAAAGGCCAGGTTTGCAGGTATTCACACAGAATGAAAGCCTACAGAAGATTTGACACAGAATTATGCAAGCAATTCAGTAACAGAAATTATTTTATCAGTATAGACTAACATAAATTCTAGTATACAAAATAACTTTCTAGTAGGACATAAATTAAAATTAAGCAAAACCCTAAAGTTAGAAGATTTTGCTGTTATTTTTTTCAAGGTGAAATGCTGCAAAGTTGTCAAACCAAAATGCATTGACTAATTCTAACATTTTCCTACTAAGATTATCACTGAATGCCATATTTTCCTATGACATTTTGAAATTCTACATCTTTCAAGACAAAATAATACCATTTAAAATTTTTCACCCAACTCTGCTTCTCAATGATGCTTTCATTTTAAGACAATATTTAATTCCATAAAGATGTTGGATGAAAAAGTTCTAGAAATTGCTTCCAGATCAGTCTTCAGTTACTGACGCCTTAAACTGGATAATATGCTCCACTCTGTATTTATAACCCTCTTAGAGGAGATCATAGTAGGAATAAAACCTACAACCTTTGACTTGACAAGATATGACTAAAATAATGAGCCAGTTAGGCAGCAAAGGAGCAGATGCAGTGCCCAATACTGGATAAGAATATGAACACAACCAATTCATAAGGAAGATATTAGAGATGAGCACAGTCAAGAAAACCAAATCTTTAAAAGTTTATGAGGAGGGAGAGGAGGGGACGGAAAGGGAATGTCAGCCTCTGATGGGCTGGCAGAAGGCAGCAAGCTGGAATTCGCACAGAATCCTAAAAAGGCGAGAGGGTCTTAGAGGCTGCTTTGTTAAGATACTGATGTCCTGCCCTGAATTTCAGCTTGGTAATTACACTTGGCCCACTCAAATCCCTTCTGCAGCTGTATTTTTCTGTAGCTTTGTTTGAGCCTTTCTCTGAACTGTCCCACAGCATCACTATGTGAAATCGTGGCTGCTGCTTTTCTACAGTCCCCTGTGGGGTGCATGACTTGAACTGTGTTTTTAGTCACTGTTTCAAGCTGTTAAACACTTAGACTTCTGTTTGGATGGCTAAGTACTAAGCAAATGTCAGGTATGCCTCTTGTCCTCAAGCTGCTGTGGCATTGAAATGATCACAAAGCAGAAGAAAAATACTTGAGGGTGAAAGATGCTGATATTGAAGGGGAAAGGAGTAAACCACAGAAGTTTACCTCCATTATTTTGTGCTATATTATTTTGCGTTAATGCCTCTGCCACCAAATGAACTTACCTTGCATTTAAAAGGTTTGACATCAGAGTGAACAATCATGTGAGCCTTGAGCGTCTGCTTCTGCACAAAGCTCTTGAAGCACAAATGGCATTGATAGGCTCTGATGTTGGTGTGGATCAGGACATGTCGCTTCATGTTGGCCAGCAGAGTAAATTCCCGGCCACAAATTCCACATTTGTGCTCTTTCACACCCTGTGAGAAAAGGAAAAAAAAAAAAAAATCAGAAAAATCTGTAGATGGAAAATTTTCTAGATCATTTAATGTTCATTACAAAAATATATGAATTATTTATTCTTCATTAGCAAAGCAGGTAATAAATTATTACAGTTTTAACATGATTTGTTCGAGTGGTAGATATTTATGTATTTCTTTCCTGGCAAATTCTTACAAAGATCTGAAAAACAGAGAAATATAAGCTTAATGAATACTAAGTTTTCGTTCCATCAGTAAGTTTACAAATCATATGAGACATAGTCAGGAACAGAGCTTCTCTTTCCCACCCTGCTGCATGTGTTACTTATTGGTTAAACATACTTAATAGACAAGAATAAAAGCTAACCAGTTAAGAGACTAACGTAGTGCTTGCTTTTGAATGTCATTGGCTTCTAAAAAAGCTATAGCCCTGTTTTGAAGAAAGCTATAGAAGATAATCTGAAGCAACTGAGTAGTCAAGCAATGTAACCAAGTAAGGATATACATGCTACGTTTAATTTTTTACCTGGTGTTTACAGAGCATTTCTAGCACCTTTTATGCCATACAGTCATTTTACTAATGCACTATTCAATATTCTTGCTTACGCCTATATGATCTTACTGCCAGCTCCTCAAAAACTCATTTAGATGCTATGAAAATCAATGAATTTACAACTAAACACTGTAAGAGTTCAAGTATAACTTGCAGAAGGTAATGAGGATTTACAAGAGAAGTGCTGAGAGCAATTACCCCATAACAAAGAACACTCTAAACCATCCCTACTTTTGTGCTAATCAGTGTTTTTCACAGTTACTTGCAAAGCTAAAATTGTGAAAACCAACAGTGTCTTTAAGTGTCTGCCTGTCTGATGTGAGACTGCATTTGGTCAGCTAAGTGCTGTTAATTATGTCCACAGCTGAATCCACCTGCGGCTGTGGACAAAGAAGCAGAAGCTCTCTAAAGGCTCAGGGGCATTGCATTTCCTGTGACAGAAAACTACCAAGTCTCAAATTGGTAGAATTTTGCATGGTAAATCCAAAGACCAGGGAATCTCCAAAACCAGCAAAAAATTATAATCATGTAGTAGGAAAGAAAAAGCAAAAGTGGATGTAGAGGTTGTTGGGTTTTAAAAGCAAATGTGTCTATAAAACTGAAACACTGTATCTTCCTGTATTTTTAATGTCTTCCACGTAAAAGCCAAAATTCAAGTGTTAAAAGTATGCAAAGCAAATTTTTATAAAATATATGGAGTTCTGGCTTATCTTAACAGCATTTTTGTAAAGGAGGACAAGCCACTTTCAGATATTCTTGGATTGAACAGTTACATTTTCGCTGTTTTTGAAAGCAGTCTTCCTGGATGTGTTCCAAAGCCTGCTCCAGCCTAAACTGACTCTGCTGTCATTGCTGCCAGCAGTGGCAAGACTGCTACTTGATACAAATTGGCTGGGACCACGGTCCTGCTTGTCCCCTTTCATTAGCTGGCATTATGGATAACTTGTGTGAGAGGGCGGGTTGTTTTTTTTTCTCCTAGATGTCTCATTATGGTGATTCTTCCAAATCTCTTGAGTAATAATATCTCTCTTTTGCTGCAGTCTACTGCCAATCCACCTACTTCCCAATTAAGGGAGCATAGCGATAGATCTGTTTTTCAGTGGAAAATTTTTGTTAAAATCTCAGGGGGTTTATACAGCTCTACAAAATTATGTTACGTTACAGAAGGCCATTCTGAAGATAAACCCCACAGATGGAAACATGTGAATACAGTTTTGAGAAGTAATACAGGTGGTTTAATTGGACTCCCATTTATGACAGAGCACAATTTGTGTGTACTTTTTTAAGACAGACAGAGACATATGGCACCTACTATTGCCAGTGCTGCTGGAGCTTTTGCTCTACATAACACTCTCCAGCTGGCAAAGGGCCAGCATGAGGCTCTATGATCTGATTATCTTCTTTCTGAGGAGGTACATACATGTATCTTTAGTAGCCTGCAATCCCTGTACTACCTTCTGATGCGAAGTGAGATTGCTACCAGTTCTGGCTTACCTTGTGAGTTAGGGAGTGCTGTTTGAGATGGTGGGGCTGCACAAACTCCATGCCACACTCAGTGCAGATGTATGGGCGGATGTCTTTGTGCTTCATCATGTGATTTTGCAGCTGACTCGGGTACTGGAATGTCTTATCACATTCAGTGCAGTTGTATTGTATAGGGCCACGGTGGGTTGTTAGGTGTCTCTTCAGCTGAGCCAGCGTTGGGAAGTCCAGACCACACTCCACACAAATGTTCTCTCTGCCACTCTCATGCTTAGACTCGTGTGCTTTCAGCTCGCTGGGGTAGGCAAAACCCCTGCCACAGATCCTGCAGTTGTAAGGCTTGATGTCGCTGTGTTGCATCATGTGTCTCTTGAGGTGGCTGGTTTGAGTGAAAGCCTTGTGGCATACTTGGCACTTATGTGGCCGAGTGCCCTGGTGTGTCAACATATGTGTGTGCAAGTGACTCAGCTGCTTGAAAAGCTTGCCACATCGGGTGCAAGCATGTGGCTTAATGCCACTGTGCCCCAAGATATGGGTGACCAGGTTGTACTTAGATGTGTAGGACTTCTCACACATGGGGCATTGCCAGCGTTTCTGTTCACCCCCCACATCAACATAGTAACTGTCATCTATCTGAAGGTTGACATCTACTCGTTCCACTTTCTGTTTATTTTCACCACTTTCTCTTACTTCAGCTCTCCTGAAGGGTGGCTCTGGCAGTCTTTTCATTTGAAAGGGGTTCCTGAAATGAAAGTTTGGCGGCACAATAAAAGGAAACATTAAGCCAGGGTGGACTTTAGGATAATAAGGGTAAGGAGCCTGCATGAAGCCTGGGCTACTGGGCCATGCCACGTTAGGCTTCACTGATTCTTGCTTAATGGGCTTGGCTCCAAAGTGCTCCAGAGTTCTGTAGAACTGAAACCCAAAGTTGCAGAGGTCGATCATCTGGGACCTGTACTTGGGCTGTGCTGGCTGTTGGAACACCAAGGAGAGACTAGAAGAGCCTATATCATTGTGGTCTTCAGGTCTGTCTGGTGGTGACGAAGAGCCCTCGAGGGCAATGGAAGGAGGCATTTTTGTTGGCATGCTCTTACGTTTCCGAGAACCTCCTTCCAAGGACCCCTGAAATGTTTCCATGTCTCCAAGAGGAGGGCCATAGTGGAAATGTGAGAGGTGTGGTCTGAATTCTTCACCAAATGGAGTTGTTCTGTGTGGCTTTGTAACAGGGCTTAGTGGCTGCAGGCAGTGGGAGAAGGAAGAGGCTGCGGTACTGTCCACATTGAAACTCGTTTCTTCATTCTTCATCATGTTTGATTTTTCCTGTGTTGCACAAATTCCTGCAAATAAACAAACACCAAAATCTCTTTATTTCTTCCTGTTCTCCTGGATTTAACATGTTATTTTATTTATCAAGTTTGACCCATAAAATATCTTTGCAACATAAACAAGTGGTGCCATGTAGTGACACACTACTTTGCATCTGAATCTGTATGGCGAGATTTCTGCTTAATTTAATTCAACCACGCTATATGTGGGCAAAATCTTGTCCTTGGCTGTGCATGCACAGGCTCTAGAAATTGGCGGTGCATCTAAAGGATATAGCAATACAAACAGTAATGTGCACATTTATTATGGTTGTGACATGAAAAGCCAATGCCAAAAAATGTTAAACTTCTTTGTATCATTAACATGTGCTGCTGTGAGAGAAAACAATGGCCAAGAGATCTAAGGACACTGTGTACCATCAGGTTTTGCGCCATGTTTCCTGGCTTCTCTCACTTTGTATTGTAATAAGAAGGCGGAGATTAATTTATTTTCTTTGTTTTAATCCCAGAGATATTTACCTGGCAGATTTGGAGGAGGAAAAAACCTTTGACAACTCTCCAAATTACTTCCAGTTTTATAAGCCTAATCTGGAGGGTTTTTTATTTCTAAATAAATGGGCGAAATCACCACTATAAAACTAAATACAGATTTAATGTCAACAACCCCCCAGGTCTCCAGAGGAACTGACACATAAGAATGCTCCAAGCCTTACTAGTCATAGACTGTCACAAAGCAGATTAATAATTATCTTCTGGCAAAATTTTATGTTCCACTGATCAGCCGTATCCTGGGCTGCAGCAAAAGGAGCATGACCAGCAGGTCAAAGGAGGTGATCCTGCCCCTGTACTCTGCTCTGCTCTTACTGAAATCTGACTTGGAAGTATTGTGCGCAGTTCTGGTGTCCTCAACATAAAAAGGACATGGAACTGTTGGAACAAGTCCAGAGAAGGGCCACGAGGATGATCAGGGGACTGGAGCACCTCCCGTATGAAGACAGGCTGAGAAAGTTGGGGCTGTTCAGCCTGGAGAAGAGAAGGCTGCGTGGAGACCTCATAGCAGCCTTCCAGTATCTGAAGGGGGCCTATAGGGATGCTGGGGAGGGACTCTTCATTAGGGACTGTAGTGACAGGACAAGGGATAATGGGTTAAAACTTAAACAGGGGAAGTTTAGATTGGATATAAGGAAGAAGTTCTTTACTGTGAGGGTGGTGAGGCACTGGAATGGGTTGCCCAGGGAAGTTGTGAATGCTCCATCCCTGGCAGTGTTCAAGACCAGGTTGGACAGAGCCTTGGGTGACATTGTTTAGTGTCCATGGCAGGGGGGGTTGGAACTAGATGATCTTAAGGTCCTTTCCAACCCTAACTATTCTATAAGTCTAAGATTCTATACACAAAGCTTCTCCTGAATTTAGGGTTCACTTAAAATACTGAATTTTGTTTCATGTTAAATAATGCAGCTACCTTTTGTCTTTGTTCTCCAGAATCATGGAATCATTTAGGTTGGAAAAGAACATTAAGATCCGTGAGTCCAACCATAAACTTAACACTACCAAGTACACCACTGAACTATGTCCACAAATGACACATCTACATATCTTTTAAATACTTCCAGGGATGGTGACTCAACCACTTCCCCGGCAGCCTGTTCCAATGGCTGACAACCCTTTTGGTGAAGATATTTTTCCTAATATCCAATGTAATCCTCCACTGGTGCAACTAGAGGTCATTTCCTCTTGTCCTATCCCTTGTTTCTTGGGAGAAGAGACCCACACCTACCTCACTAAAACCTCCTGTAGATAACAATAAGGTCGCCCACAAGCCCCCTTTTCTCCAAGCTAAACAATCCCCCTTCCTTCAGCTACTCCTCCTAACACTTGTTAACTAGACACTTCACCAGCTTTGCTGGCTTTCTGGACATGCTTCAGCACCTCAATGTCTCTCATGCAGTGAAGCACCCACAACTGAATGCAGGATTCAAGGTGCAGCCTCACCAGTGCCCAGTACAGGGGGATGATCACTGCCCTGGCCCTGCTGGCCACACTATCTCTGATACAGGCCATGATGCTGTTGACCTTGTTGGCTGCCTGGGCACAAGCTGGCTCATGTTCAGCTCCATCAGTCAGCACCCCCAGGTCCTTTTCCACCAAGCAGCTTTCCAGCCACTCTTCCCCAAGCCTGGAGAATTTCCTGGGGTTGTTGTGGCCCAAGTGCAGGACCTGGCACTTTGCCTTGTTGAACCTCATACCACTGGCCAAAACCCATTGATTCAGCCTGTCCAGATCCCTCTCCAGAGGCTTCATACCCTCCAGCAGATCAACACTCCCACCCAGCTTGGTGTGGTCTGTAAACTTACTCAGTGTGCACACGATCCCCTCATCCAGATCATTTATAAAGATATTAAACAGAACTGGCCTCAATACTGAGCCCTGGGGTATACCACTAGTGACCAGCTGCCTAGTGGATTTAACTCCATTCAGCACCACTCTTAGTGCCCTGTCATCCAGCCAGTTCTATACCCAATGAAGAGTTGTCCTGGGTTCAGCAGTAGCAGTCATTTTTCCCCTTCTTGGTAGCTGCTGCAGTGCAGTGTTTTGACTTTCGGCCTGGGAACAGAGCTGATAACACCGATGTTTTGGTTTGGCCAAGGACTTTGTGAGCCTCATGCTCTGCCAGGGAGGAGGGGAAGCCAGGAGGAAGCAGAGACAGGACACCTGACCCAAACTGACCAAAGAGGTATTCCATACCACAGCACGTCATGCCCAGGAGGTAACTGGGAGTTACCCAGAAGGGCTGGGAGACTGCGGGGTTGGAGGAGGTATCGGTCGGTGCTTGGTCGGGCCTGGGGGGTGAGTTATCGGTCGGCTGGTGGTGAGGTGTTGTCTTCTCTTTCCTTGCTATCTCCTTTATCATTGTTATTACTGGTGGTAGCAGTAGTGATTTGTGTTATACCTTAGTTACTAAACTGTTCTTATCTCAACCTGTGGGAGTTGCATTCTTTTCGATTCTCCTCTCCGTCCCTCTGGGAGTAGGGGGGAGGGAAAGAAGGGGGGGGAGTGAGTGAACGAGTTACCTGACTGGGTTTAAACCACGACAAGAGTACACCCATCCAAGCCATGAGCAGCCAGTTTCTCCAGAATGCTGAGAAACAGTGTCAAAGTCTGCACTGAAGTCTAGATAGACAACATCCACAGCCTTTCCCTCATCCACTATGTGGGTCACCTTGTCATAGAAGGAGATCAGGTCGGTCAAGCAGGACCTGCCTTTCAAAAACCCATGCTGACAGGGCCTCATTGTGCTTGCCCTGTACATGCTGTTTGGTGGCACTCAAAATGATCTGCTCCAGAATGTTCCCTGGCACCAAGGTCAAACTGACAGGCCTGTAGTTTCCTGCGTCATACTTCCAGCCCTTCTTGTAGATGGAGGTCACATTTACCAATCTCCAATCTCCAGTCAGCTGGGACCACCCCAGTTAGCCAGGACTGCTGATAAATGGTGGAAAGCAGCTTGGTGAGAACTTCTGCCAGGTTCCTCAGTACCCTTGGGTGGATCCCTCATGGTTGCATAGACTTGCATGTGTCTAAATGGTGTACCAGGTCAATAACCATTTCCTCTTGGATCATGGGGGCTTAATTCTGCTCCTCATATCTGTCTTCCAGGTTGGGGGGGGGCACCCAGAGAACAGCTGGTCTTGTTATTAAAAACTGAGGCAAAGAAGTCATTAAGTGCCTCGGCCTTTTCCTCATCCTTTGTCACTCTTTCCTTTGCATCTAATGCAGGATGGAGATTGTCCTTAGCTCTCCTTTTGTGGCCAATGTATTTATAGAAATATTTTTATTGTCTTTTAAGGCAGTAGCCAGATTAATTTCTAGTTGGGCTTTGGCCATGCTAATTTTCTCCATGCATAACCTCATGACATCCTTGTAGTCCTCCTGAGGGATGCACTTATCTGTGTGTGCATGTGTGTTTATGTACATTCATCCATCCAACCAGGCAGAGGTTGTGCTGGAAAACCAGACATATTTTCCCTCTGTCACCTGTGACACATTGATGCTATTTATAACCCTGTTCTTGGAAATGCTGGGTGGAGAGCATGAAGGTGGTTGGAGTATTAGAGATACTCCTGTTTCTTTTTCAGGAGGCTCCATGTTGGATAAAACTGCTTCTAAATATAGATAAAAGCACATCTCTGTGACCTAGTTAGGCTGTGGACAAAAGAAGGCATTTTAAAAATGGTCTTGCAAGCAAATTACTTCCTTATAACAGGTTAGACTGTAGAATTATCTTTGAGATACTGTTTGAAGCCAAAGGCTCAGTGATGAAATTTTAAGATGGAAAATTTGCACAAAGGAATCAATCAGTGCACAGATAAGCAGTAGTAACCAAAGCAAAAATTGTAGGAGCTCTAAACTGATTATTCAGAAAACATCTGTGGTAGTAGAAAAGGCGGCAAAAAAATTGCTTAAAACTGGGACAAGTGTTTAATAATTATACCAGGATGTGACTTTTAGTCCCTGACTCACTGACTGGATATGGTGTACGTATATATACACACACTATGTGTATGCTATTTCTGTGTTTGTATGTGTATATAAGTAATATACGTAACTGTGTATGATCCATCAGAAACGTTTGTTAGGGAATATGCATTCTGCTATGTTTCCTAAGTATCCTATGTATCCTAAGTCCCTGGGCAAAATAAGGTGCAATTAAATCTCGAAGACTCTTTTGGTGCAAAGGCTTGGCTTACTAAAAAGGGAGAAGGGAAGAGGAATCCTTTGAATACCAAAAAGGACTCCACATTTTTTTCCTAAAGGGAAAAAAAGTTTGGTTTTGGGTTGGGTTTTTTTCAGAATTCAGCTTAAGCAAAGTTAAACTCCCACAACTCGAACATAAATTACACCTGTACACCAAAATCTTACCTTCAAAGTATGGGCCTGTTCCTCAAATATCTTTCATCTTGTGTAATTGATTCTTTCCCAGCAGCATGGGTATAAAATGCTTCAGAAAGCCCACAACAATTGAAAACCCAGCTATGTTATTTACTGCTTTTGTTAGATTACTGAAATACTGCCAAAAACACACAGAAGTGACGGAGTTGTGACTAATTGCTCTCTTGTCTCTTGTCTGCCAGTTACTCCCTTCTTCCACTGCCTGCATTATGCAAAATTTCAATCTTTCTGGAATACAGACTCATGGCAAAGGCTGTAGAATGGCTTTAAATTATTAGAAAGAGTTAATTTTGTTGCACTACTAACCTTTGGCTGCTTTCACTGAGCTTATGGGTTTATCCCACTGTCCACAGCTACACACATCACAGGACCAAACCTACGGAGGAAAGTATTTAAACAGTCAGTGACCATCAGTCAGAAAGGTGCTACACAATCCAACAAAAGAGAACCTAAAAGGGGAGGGAGAGTAAATTGTACTGTATTTTTTTATATTTACAATATATTGCAATATTTACTATATTACAATATATTGCAATGCAAATACTTTCTGCTTTTTTTTTTTTTCTCTTCAATCTGCCAAACACCATGGTGGAGAAATTAATTAAGGAAATATTAGATGAAACCTATCTTCCCATCTGCTTTCATGCTGATAGCAAACCCTTACTAATTTCTACGGAAGCATGATCTTCACTTGATCAGAACTTAATTCCATAAACATTTGAGTCCTGAAGAAATCGTAGAAGAGACTACAGATCTGATCACCATGCAAGAAATAGCTAAGGAGCTTCAAAGCTTTTAACTGCAGCTCCCCAGTAATTTTGTTCTGTATGACTCTGGAGTGGCTGATCTCATTTTAATACTCAACAATAAATAATGAGGGTGTGAATTGAAAAGCATTTGTTTCAAATATCTCTTAGGGATCTTTTGTGTTTCCTATAAAAGCACTTTAAAACGTCTTTCTTTCTTCAGCACTTAGTATTTGAATTGTAATACTATGTAGCACAGCAGCTTGTGATTCTAAACACTGAGTTTAGTTTAAACCTGGATAGATATTATAAAATTCTATCTTTTATCAGTAGCATTTCAGCTCCTCAGTTTTGAAAACTTGGTCTGGAAATCTCACTGAGACAGGGGTTTTCATGCTGTATTGGCACTTAAACTTTAAAAAAAAACACTAAACCTAGCACTCCAGAGCTTATTAAAAAGTTAATTTCTTTTGAACAGAGAAGCATCCTCACAGTTTCTTTCTATATGTAAATACTTGGAAATACATGATTTTGAAAAATAGAATAGGAAACGAGCTCCCTCCCCACACTTTCAAAAAAAGAAAAGAAATACTCCAGTGAGTTCAGGTAGTTATTGAAATATTTCCACAATAGAATGTTTATGCAACACCTAATAATGTTGTTAACTTCCATTAAAGAGGAACAGTTTAATACACAATATGAATCCCCTTTTATTTTCTCATTTCCTTTTACCATATTTTTACAAAGGATTAAAAAAGTATGTAAATCATGCTATTCACTCTACAAGCATATGATTCTTACAGTTTCCAGTTAATATTCTGCGCTGAAGTCAGCAGCAAATTTTCTTTAGACTTCAGTAGAACAAACGTGGTGCATGAAAGTGTCTTCTAATAATAAAAATGTGAGGTGGTGAATTTTCTCAAGCTTAAATACTGAATACTACTGTTCTGATTTTGCTCTTGGGCAACACGAAGCTAAAACCATAAATGAGACCAAGATGAGTGAAAGTTTTATGTACTCCCTAACAAAGGGAAATGGTCTACTTTATTAGGAGATTTGCACTTGTGTTTGCTCTTTCACAAGAAGATGAAACACAGGAAAGTGGAAGAAGTGTAAAGGTGGCTGAATAGACTGAACGGCTTCTCTTACTGAAAAAGAAGTTACACATTTAACAGAACATGTATGACTGTCGAAACTGTGCCCTGTAAGAACGTATTTCTGCTTTCCTTTGGGGGCCTGAAATATTGGCATCTGTAAGGAAAGAATGAAATCTAATAGCTGTTTCTGTATTGGAAGTGGTGTAGATCAGTGAAAAATGACACACTATTACATTTCTGGATGTAAAGTTGAGCAGCTGGAGAGCTTCAGCCTTATTGAGCAACCAGCTGGGTTTTTTTCAGTCACTGACTGTTGTAACCTGTATATATCAATGGTCATGGTTATCTTAATAGAATCTCCCTCATTCAGTTCACATTTCCAAATAGGTTTTGGAATGTTTTTAAATGTACTAAATGTTTTGGAATAGGTTTTAAATGTACTCAGTCATACAGCTGTTAACTAAGAACCAAATTCTTTACTTAGTTTTCACTTATTTACTATTTCTATTTATGCAAAATTCACATCAGTCTCTGGCTCTGACCAAAAGGGGTTTTAAGAATTCATCTCATTTCAGCAGTAAAGCAGTGTTCCCTACTGCATCTACACTGGTTTATTTGTCAGACTTTGAAAATGCTAAGAATACTTGTACAAACATGAATGCATCCACTCCTGGTAAATGAGTGTTTCAAGTTAGTACACATCTGATCGTTCCTTACTATGCTCCATGCTGATTTCCTTCAGTGATGGCATGAACTCCCCATGAACCCCTTTTTTCTTTCTCTTCCACCTCTTTTCTGCTGCCTCCAGTATGAGTGAAATCATGCAACAATGCTGCCATTCTTCATTTCCTCTTCTATTGGGAATTTAATAGTTTTAGAGAGTTGTAAATCAATCATTTGGATGTTTTGAACCTGTAATTTTCATATGTTTCTTGTTTGCTTTCCTGGTTTTATAGCCTGTCGTGAGTAAGAAGTTAGACTAGATGATAATAATCTTCCACAGCTGTAAAATCTGTGCACCTGCTTGTCGTTTGTACAGTCAAATTTTTGTTTGTAGGTAATAGTGCTACAATACTGCTGCAATAATGAATGATGCAGAAGTTCTAAATATGCTTGGAAGACATGGAGTTATTTCAATACGAGGTTCACTAGATATTGGCTCAAACTGTGATGGTTATTCAATAATGGATTATTTATATAGGGTTTTTTTCAAATTAAGGTACATTATTTACTCTAGGCTTCAGTGACTGTAGTCATTAGAGTAGGGTAGAAGATAAAAGACCATGTTCAAACACTTATCAGAATTTCTCTAAAATCTATGTCAACTCTCTAGTTCTTTAGAGAAATCCATGCAAAAGGTGTTTTCCATCCATGTTCTCCCAGTATAAATGCCCACATTTCAAGCACACAAATTTGAAAAATTGACTCCATAATATATACTGAGTACATATTTTTATACTCAAGACAAGTATATAAACTGAGTATGTGTTGTATACTCAAATCAGCCTTGAAGTCCATAAGCTACATTATTTGCAGCTAACCTAAAAGTTGATTTACATTTTAAACGAAGAGAGCACTTTTCCTGCTACAGTGTAGAGCCAGAAGACAGAAATTTGGACTACCTTGCAAAAAATAAACACGGATTTAGGGAAAGTATCCAAAATCAATGAGTGCAGATACTGATTAGGAAGACACAAATGGTGGGGAAACCTTAAAGAAACAGGCCTGTGCTGGAAATAATAGCCATTGTGGAGTTTATTCAAAACTTCTCAATACCACTTCTACAAACAGTTGTTTTCCCTCTCTCACATGCATGCAGACCTGGTATTAAATAAAGTCCATGATTTAACATCTCCTTAATTGTCATCTAAGCTAAGGCTTCTTGTCACATGCCTTTGGAAACAAGTTGATCATGAAAATGATCTGGAATACTGAAAATGAGAAGTGGACCAGATCAGGTTTTTTCTTCCTACATTAGTATGATAGTACTGAGGATCTGTGTCTTTTTCACTTCTCCCTGGGAAATTACCTTCATCTGCTGGTATCAGGCTTCAGGAGAAAACTTCTTCTTTCCATTAACAAATGTGTGCTTTTTTTTCTCAGCATATGGTAAAGGAAAACTGATAACGTTGGTAACTCTTCCTAAGGCATAATTAGAGCTCACTGAGGTTTATGGGAAGACTTCCAATGAACTCTGAAACTAATCTGTCACAATTTTCCTTGTTATTTGTTATAGGTTCTGTTGTCCAGTGAGATATGAATCCATCTATGCTATGACCAAAATTGGTTATTTTTAGCAAATGTATTGTACATATATGAAAAAATACAACTTATATCCTGAGACAACATGTTAGCAGATGGTAACCTTTGCAGATAAATGTAGTAGAAATCATACGACCACACACATAAGAAACCAAACTGATTAAAAATCTGACATGGTTAAACAGTTTAACATGACTCAGTAAACAAATGCAAAAATAAATGAACTTTCAAAGACGTCCTATTGTTAAATAATTTTTTTCCCCTTCACTGACTCTGTTTTGGCATGTCTTCCTTGCTCCATGTCCAAAGTTTGATTGTTTTAGATATTCCTTTGCTCTAAGTTCTTTCTATGCAGTGCAGCTGCATTAATGTTGTCTGGGAGATGACACCAATGTGAACAAATGGGTCTTTTTTTCAGAAAATTGTGCAACAGAAATACCATCCCTGCATTGACTTTGTTATTCCCAAATTTTAACATTTTAAGTTACATTCTTTTTGTTTTGTTTTAGCTGGAAAATACAAAATTAAGGAAACATACCAGTTTACCTGGGTTGCCTATAAAGTGGCTTTTGCAGTCATCTTGGATATATGTGTAACTTGGTTTTGCACTCAATTTTCAGGGAGCAAGACACTATAAGCACTTTTACAGTAACATAGTTTTTTTGGTATTTCTTGTAATAGAGAAAATTATTAAAATAGTATCAAAATTAATGTGCATTCACTTTTCCATAACCTACAGATCATTTCTGTTTTGATAACTATAGGAAGTGTTAGTGAATGCCCCATCCCTGGCAGTGGCCAAGGCCAGGCTGGACAGGGCTTTGAACAACCTGGTGTAGTGGAAGTTGTCCCTGCCCATGGCGGAGGGGTTGGAACTGAATGAGCTCTAAGGTCCCTTCGAACCCAAACCGTTCTATGATTCTGAGGTGTTAAACTAGATCCTCCGATTTTGTCTGCTGAAAGTGCCGGGCCATCCCATCACCCACCCTGCCAAAGCTGAGGCACTGTTTGTGGCATCGTGAGCGCTTATAGAGTGGTTTATGGCATAACTTGCTTTTCAGTGGTGGCATGGATTAGATAGAAAAAAATTGCCTGGTGTTGTAGTGAGCTAGCCTTAGACATCTTTCCTCTCTCCAGTGTGAGTGTTGTGTTCTTAGTTTAGTCCCGCTGCCCAACAGGACAGTGAGTGGAAACCACAGAGCAGTACGGCTTTGTTTACCACTGAACATCTGCAACAGAGCCTTATTGGTGATGCCCTGAGCAGTACTTAA